ATGGCATTGATGCACAACAGATGCAGCCTGTTCAGGGTATCCCCAAACCAATGGCATCTGTTCTCCCTAGAAATATTACACACATCAGTTTTTCAGTGCATGCCTATTCTCAGTAGAGCCCTGGAAACTACCTATTGTCCAACTAGTTTGGGATGTAGTGAGAATAACTGTTACCTTAGTAGGGTTCTGTGTGGACCAAAAAGAGCTACCACCTGGCTTGAGCACATCTTGTGTTCTCCCTTTCTGAATGAGATCAGTCATAGACAGATTCCAGGTTCCTAAGCTCCCATGAACAGGGAGGAGGATGGCTTCCCCACTGTGTCAGGGAAAGAAGCCATTGGGAGTTGCAGATTTGAGTTCAGAATGCAGCCTCTATATGTTTCAAGTCAACATCTAGTGAATGGATAATCTAAGAAGTGGGAGGGAGGGAGTCTTCACCATCTGTCTAGGAAGCCTTTATCTCAGCATCTCAGCAGGATAGCAGAAAATCAGCATTGTTGATTTTTATATTTAAGTATAAAATAAGAAAATTCTGACTCAAAGTTTTGTTTAAAATGTCTTTTTATTTTTAATAAGAAGGTATTAAAATATACTAACATAGGCAATACAATCTGGCTATCAGGGATAATTTTATTTCATAGCTTTCTGTTTATGTAATTTTGAATATTTATATCACATTAGATTTCAAAAATTTATATTATACTCCAATTTGTGTGTTGTAATATTAACCATATTGATTTCATAAACAATCAGAATAAATCTCATATAAAATAATTTGATTATGTTAAATAAGCAAAATTATGATAATTAAATTTTATCTAAACATTAATATGGAAAATTTGACCCCAATTTTGTTAATTGTAAAAAACTTGAGATTTTGTCATTTTATCAATATATCTTTTTATTCTTCATGTACATCTTAAGCATGTATTTAATATAAATTACATCTATATTATTGAGACTGAGAATTGAAAATTTGTCTAGTCCCTAAAATGCACTTGAAACCCTGAGTAAACTTTGATGGCCAAAGTCATTTTCAACATGCAAATATCTGTCAGACTTTCAATTTCTGACATAGATGGTCCAAGCTGAGGTTGACCAAGAATCTGAAATCTAGATTCAGCTCATAATGTAAATGAATGTCCTTTATGCTATCTGTCATAATCATACATTCTCTCTCTTTTTTCTATTTTTTAATGAATTCCAATCTTTAAAGTAGCCTATAAGTATAGTGCTAAAGTTCTATGCGTTGTTCCTAGGTGCCAGAAATTTCTCATATTCCTTATGGAGAAAATAACTTTGTTAGATAATTTTTCATCCTGAAATGGGTTACAGTTCTTTAGATTATTAATTCAAATAATTATTAATCCAAATTGTTAACCCAGAAAAAAAAGAGTTCACATACTTGTATATGAGGCCTATCTGGGACGTGTTAAAGCAACATCTATCATGTGTGATAGAGTTGTGGGAAAGGTATGTTACATAAAATTTTCTGGTGGTCATTATTTTGGACTGAGACCCAGCAGAACAAAATAGCAAGGCATCACTTGTGTTAAGTGTAATATAATTAAATGAAATGCTAATAGGCTCTAAGCAGGTCAGTTTCTCCCATAAATGGGACATTCATAGCAACCAATAAGAAAGGGACCAGCTGACCTGGCCCATCAGCATAAAGAAGTCCCATTCTTTGGACCCTTACAAGGAAAGTAAAATGATCTTAACCAACTCAGTTCTTTGTCTTATTCCGTGTTCTTGTTCCTGCTCAATCTGCTCTACAAACGCGACAGTTCAGTTCTCCCCAACAGAGCTCCTTCTGTTTTGAGACAGGATGATGCCCAATTATTGGATCACTAATAAAAGTCATTTATTTAAACTAAATTTGCTGAAATTTGCATTCCTAGTGGATGAAGAATATGGCACATTTGTGTATTCTTGAGATATCAACCAATAAAAATCGGTGTAGAGTACAGCTTTGTTGTGAGGTCGGAAGACAAAGTCATTTACATTCAAGTTAACCAGGGTTGTAATGTGGCTAATTCTTTTTGGCTGATGCATGTGATTGCAGGTTTGAAGAGATCATAAGGCATAAAAAATGACAGCATTCTAACAGAGGCAGCTTCTGCCTATAGGAATAAAGCAGAAGGATTTTTAAAATGACTGCTAAGTTTTTCACAGGCAAATACTTATGTGGAAGAGCAAGTTTTCAATACTGAGAATTTTGGTGGGTCATACCAGAATGTTAGCATAAGTACTTATATAATACAAGTGCTCCCTTGAGTGCCTGGTACTAAATCAGATTGTGTGATTTGTTTCTAAGAACTATATACTAAATTAGATATTCTTCTAAAACATACCCCTAATATAAAGTTATACTTTGATCACTTGAGAAAATACTATGATCCAAAGCTCATATGAACACTGTAATGAATAGTTCCATATATTTGCTAATTAAGAATTCAAGTGATTTTATAGAGCATAACTACTATGAGCAATGAGAATTGACTTTGAAATTGTAAATATACAAATAGGTATATGTCTATGGGCAGAATTGCTCATACTTTTAATTTCAAAGAAAAATTGTGCATAGTTACAATGTACAACATGATGTGTTGACCTGTGTATACATTTTAGAATAGCTAATTCAAGCTATTTAATATGTAAATTGCATTGTACTTATTAATTTTGGAAGTTGAAACACTTCTGATCAGTTCCCTTAACTATATTCTAGTATCAATATATTGTTGCTAACGATCCTCCTCATGGTGTACACAGGATTTCTCCAGCTCATTCCTCTCACTTAAATATTGCATTTATTTAATCATGTACACTTCGTCCTAGGTTTCTAGTCTCTTGTCACCCTATTTTCCTGTTTCTATGAGCTATGCTTCTCCAGATTTGTTATATGAGAGCAAGCAGTATAGTATTTTTGTGCCTTGATTAATTAACATAATATCCTTTAGGTTTATGCATGTTGTTGTAATGACAGTATTTACTTTAGTCTGCTTATAAAAATTGCATGGAGAACCTTAAAGCGTGAGTGACAGGACACTATTCCCACTGCAGTTTTGTCTTTTCTTTAGTTTCATTTGAACACATTCATATAGTATGTAGTTTTTATGTGTCTGAGTTTCATCACTTAACATAATACCTGTGAGATTTATCCATGTGAAACAACAGAACACAAAGAAAAGCACAAGACTTAATAGAAATCAGTGAGAAAGAATAATTATCTATTAATTAATGACAATTTGGCCAATAGATGTTTTACAGTAATAACATTTAAAGAGGAGTAGGGTAGTGACTTGAAAAGATTAACAGAATATTATAAATGGAAAAACAAATTGGGAAGCTACAAAAGCATGGTTCAAGAAGGAGGATAAAATAATGAAATATTTAGAGGAACTGATAAGAGAGAAGGTAATCTTTATTTAGTAACAGTGTATATTGAATGTCAAATTACATACTGAAGAAAGATGTTAGTTAAAAGGTGAAGAAAAAGAAGTGTGTAAATATGGCAGTATGTCACAAAGGTCTAACAATGACCTACTGTCCTGTGTGATGTTGATTTAGATCTAATCCTTCCTATTTCTCTCTTGTTTCTGATTATTTCCCACACATTTTTTTCTTGTTTAGTTTTGTTTTTGAGAAAAGAACAGTTTGATAAAGAGTTGTACTTGGAATACACTTGTCTCAGCACAATGTTTGCCACAACTTTTATGCACATTAGCTAAAGAGGAACTTAAAGTAAAAATGACCTGCAAAAATCCTAAAAAGAATAGCAGACAACATATCAAAATATTTTCCTTGTTTTAGTAATTTTTGATATATTACTCCCCAGAATGCTGAATAGATTTCAAAAAGTTTAGATATTCAGGAAAACCATGAGAATATAAAATATTCAGAGTCATATAATTCAAGCAGTCAAATATCATTTCACATATGCTCCTATTAAATAATTTACATTACAGAAAAATAAATATGATCATCTCAAAATTTAAAATTTCAGAGAGAGAGACACCAGAATTTTATTATCATTGAAGAAATTAACATATTTTCCTGGACATATGAAACATAAAGAGGTCAAATTCAATTGGTCTTCAAATATAGAAAAAAATGATGATTAAGTAAGATCTCTCAAAATAGTTAAGGAAGAATAACATGAAATAAGCAGAAATCTAAACATAACATCCTAGGAAGTACTAAGAGGGTTGTCAGAATGGTTCAGGAGCTAAGAATGGTGATATACACCAGCAGTGTCAATTACTGGGGAGGATTGCAGACCAGGCTAGGCATCATAGTGACACCATATCTTCAAAAAATAAAACAAAATTAAATTAAATTTTTAAAAGACTGAGAAAAAGTCAATGATATATTCTTGCAGACTCCTGTTTTTTTTCTAAAAACTTGATCCCTAAATATGTTCAGACAATGGTTTCTATAATTACAGTACATAGCTATTAATGTTAATTGATAATATTATAAACACTGCGTGTCAACCATAATCATTATATTAAAATAATTATTATTGAGGAGAATGATGCAATTCTCATTTTAGAGTAAGGCCACAATTTAGTTGGAGAACATTACTGGTATGCTTCCATAATTGACACATCTGTGACAAAACACATTGTCTTTGGATAAATCATTTCCCACAGAAAATTTATAGTCATCTGAACATGAAAAGAGCAGCTTAAGGAATAACCACACATTCTAAGACAGATAACACAGTGTTTCTTTTTTTGTTTTTGTTTTTGTTTGTTTTTGGATATCAGGAATTGAACTCAGGGGCACTCGACCACTGAGCCACATCCCCAGCCCTATTTTGTATTTTATTTAGAGACAGGGTCTCACTGAGCTGCTTAGTTCTTATTTTACTGATCATGACTTTGAGCTCACAATCCTCCTGTCACTGGGATTATAGGCGGGCACCACCATGCCCAGCTAACAGAGTGTTTTATTCAGATATTAATCAAAATTAAAATTCTTCAATACAGAGGCTTTCAAAAACTGAACAATTTAAGAAATCTGTCTCGTATTCTCTTAGTCCTTACTCCATAAATAATGGGGTTCACCATGGGTGGGATGAGAAGATAGATGTTAGCCACAAATATGTGGACATGAGGAGCTACTTGGTGCCCAAACCTGTGGGTGAGAAAAGAGAAGAAGGCTGGGGTATAGAATACCAAGATGATACAAACATGGGAGACACAGGTGCCCAGGGTCTTGAGTCTGGCATCCTTGGATGGGAGGCGGAAGACAGTGTGGAGGATGAGCACATAAGAATAAATGATCAGTATGAAGTCCACTCCTCCAGTAAGGAAGGCAACAATGAGGCTGTAGGCTCTGCGGATTCGTGTCTCAGCACAGGCAATCTTGATGAGGGCCATGAACTCACAGTAGGTGTGGGAAATTATGTTGGTTCTGCAGTAAGGAAGCCAACGAAGCAGGAAGGGATGAAGACTGAGAAGTGTTGTACCCCGGAGGACAATAGCTAGACCTATTCCTCCTATTACACTGTGTGTCAGAATAGCTGAGTGTCTTAGTGGATTACAAATGGCTACATAGCGGTCAAAAGCCATGGCCAGGAGGAAGCCAGACTCCATGGTGGAGCAAGAGTGAATCAGAAACATTTGAGTGAGACAGGCTTCAAAGGGAATCTCTCCATCATGGAACCAAAAGAGGCTGAGAAGTTTGGGGACAACTGTAGTGCACACAACAAGGTCAGCAGCAGCCAACATGCAGAGGAAGAGGTACATTGGCTCATGGAGGCTGGGATCTGTCTTGATGATAAACAGAAGTGAAGAGTTTCCCAGTAGATCCAAAAGGTAAACCAAACAAAAAGGAATGGAGATCCAGATGTGAGCAGCCTCCAACCCAGGAATGCCAATGAGAACGAAGGTTGATGGATGGATATTGGTTTTATTGTATGCTGACATCCCAAGGGTCAGATATTCCAGTTCTTCTCATGGATGTTCCTCTAAACTGAAAAAATAACAATTTATATATTTTTCAATAATTTATGAATTTTACAGACTGTCAAAGAAAGCAAATTGTAAAGCAATGTGGGTCATGGAGTAATTACCATACCTGTGAATATTGAGATAGAAATTTTTCTATCACCTGTAGAGTCAGGTTCAATTACAGTCAATCTGCCTTGAGAAGAAAGTAGTGAAAATAGTGCCTGAAGGTGCTGTCTACACTGAGGATGAGGATGGAAGGACCACTCGTTCTTATTGACATGTACCAAATCATGGGAATCTTTTTTACCTTTCCCAGATTAACTTTAATCATTTTTACAAATACATAAATGTTGATATTTTCACTGATATATGAATTTGGAATTTGCAAGCACTGATATACAAATGCTAAATGCGGAAAAATCTTTAAGTACCAAAAAACAGAGATAAATACATATATGAAAATTTTGCCATGTTCCAGGAGAATTAAATTATCATGTTGCATCATTCCAATTGAGAATTAAAGAATGTTTAAGAATCTTACATTTGGAGGAGTAAGAGAGAGTGCAGTTATAATAGTAAGACAGGAGGAAAGTTGCAAATAAAGAATTTTTTTTTTTTTTGGCGGGGGGTAAAATTATAGTTTATACACATTCCAAGCAACAGTGTGTGGCTTTGAGACAGGACAACCAACACTGAGCAGATGTGTCATTTATAGAATGATCACCAGGACGTTTACTCACAACTGCATGAGACTCATCAGAATGATAACAGGAGAAGTGTGACACAGTTTTTCAGGAAATAAACAAATCATTGTACTTTAATGACTCTCCTCAGGCCCCACAGTTGTCTGTTACTCTTGACATAAGTTTCTATCACTTCCTTAATTTATGTAGTTGGTTAAAAATCTTGCTTTCGGATAAGTGCACTCTGCACCTATGCACCTACTAAGCTTAAGCATGTACTTAAGCATCCACTTAAGCATCAGTTCACAATTTTCTCTCCTACACACACTTCTGCATTTCGTGACAACACTTCAGCCCCATAATGCAATTTGCTTATTGCACTAATTCCATTTCTCAGAAATGAATTTTAGAACTACATTTTTTAAAAAATCATGTAGGCCCCTTAGTAGATAGTCTTTTTATTTTTAACTTTTATTTTCAAGAAGTATGGTCAGTACTGTTCCACAAACTCTTTCATTACTATTATAGATATTTATAGTTTTGGAGTACTGATGATCATGAAACACAACTCTTTTAAGTCAATGTCCAAGGAAGTCATTGTTGGAATATGTACGGCAGACTGGGCTGTATTGAATTGCAATGATTTGATATTTTAGCTACTGTTTTTAAAGTTTCACAAACACAGTTTTCGCTTACTCTCACTGTTTGAACTTCAGAGTCTCTTTCTCCCATGGAAACAGTGTCCACTGAGCTTTGGAAAGTCTGGGGATGTCATTTCTGATCCAGGCTATATTAGAGAGAACAAGAACATAGGGAAATCAGATTACTGGAATTTTGTAATGATACAATAATTATAATCAAATAGTATTTTTCAGAGTAAATTTATTCTTTTACTTTTAGGTTTTTCATCAAAGAATTACAGGAATAATTGAAAAGGGCAATGTTTTTGGAACATTCGTAACAACAGCAACAAAATCTCTTCCCTCATGTTTGTTTACTATTTTTTTAAGGGACAAAGAATTTTAACTCTTAGTTATTAAAATGCTCTTACTTTTATCAAACCATAATTTAATCATTCAAAATGATTAAGAGCCACCATCCTTCATAAAAGTAGCAGTTAAATTAAAAATTTGTACTACCTTTATGTTATGGTGCATTAAGTATACTGAAAATAAAAAGGCATATTTATCTGAACTGATATGAAAGATAGCAAAATAAAAGTAAACATTATTTGGTATTATTCATTCTCAGAATATACATATAAAACATAAAAATGAATATTTAGGATAATATAAACACAGTTAAACTGAATTTTTTAGACACAAAAAGAAATCTAAATGAATACACACCCAATATAGAAAAAGTCTAAAATATGTGATAGGTAGAAAAGATCATAGACAACATATAATTTACCTTTACCATTATTAGGCTTTTCTTAATTATCAACATGTTTTCATGATTACCTGTGGTGTTTAAGATAACAAAATAAATAATGCAGAAATAAATTGTATAAATTAAAAAAATGCAAACCAAAGCATTAGGATAAGATGTGGCCTCTCATGCTTTTATAAAATATTAATAAATTTAAATAAATATTGAAACACTTTTCTCCACTTCTCTCCATAGCAAACTGGTCACTTTCTGACTAATTGTATCAGTAACCTTGTGTCTTTGTTCCACCTGGTACTTTCAAACGTAAAAACATATAATAATTATTTACTAGAAATGAAGATTCTATTCACATTTCAAATTCCTCTGGATTATTTTCCTAGATACTTTGGATGATCATGGAAACCCTCCTTGATATCCCTGTAGTAGGTATACTTACCTGTCTTTTATTTTTTCTCATATTGTATTTTATATCTCTTCATGTATATCTCCTTTTTATATTGTTTATTCTTACTGAATATAAATGATGTTTTTTCCATACACTTGTTTTTCATTCCAATGAGTTAATAAATAATAGAGAACATTATAATATTTTATTATTGTAAAAAATAATTTTAGAATAAATTTAAGATAATCATTCTATGATCACAACTTTTAGTATAAACATTGTATAGTCTGCAAAAATCCTCAAACCCTGTGTGCACTAATAGTTTCCTGATGCTAATGTTAAAATCTGAGATATATCTGGAATCCTCTCCAACAATATAAAATTCATTTAGCACTTATTTTTTGCTGACTCCATCCTGAAGAAATTGGTAGGGAATAGAGGAGAAGAAACTTACCAATGTTTTTGGAGATTAATAATACAAATTGTCTATAATGTTTTTATATCCATCCTGCATGCATTATCCATGTCTTTAAAAAAACAAAATAATATAAACCAATATGCATTGAGCAACGATTAGATACTAAGCTATTTGTACTGTTGGCTGTACCCCATTTTGTCTTCAAGGAGATAATCCTACTTATGGCATAGATAAGAAAAGTAGCTAAGATTATCCAATTGGTTTCCCATAGCTGTTCTACTATCAATTAGTGGCTCTGACATTTAAATCAAAGTAATTATGAAGTTTCAATGCTTTCATTAAACCCTCAAATATATGTACCCCAGAAGGTTTTGTAAATGTAAAATGATATAAAGCATTGCTCACTGCTTTCAGCAGAATGAAATATTGAAGAAAAAGCCTGAATTTCTAAGGTTTGCTCAGCATATTCTCTGATCCATCCCCTTCCCATCATTTCTCTCATCAGCCTTTCTCTAGTATACTCAAGTATTTAGAAAATCCATGTACAAATTTATTCTTAAAAAAAGGTGCAGTCCAGTCTCAACCTATAACAGACACCATTGACTGTATAATACAGGCAGCCTGTTCAAGGTATCCCCAAACCAATGGTATTTGTTATTCCTAGAAATCTTACATATATCTGTTTTTCAGAGCTGGCTGCTTTCCAACTACCTGACTATTGTCCAACTAGCTCAGACTGCAATGAAGAGCACTGTGCCCTGCCTTACCTCACTAGGGATCTTTGTGGATCAAAAGAGAACCCACGTGATTTGAGCAAATCTTCTGTTCTCCCAGGACTTGCAGTTTTTTCTGAATGAGCTCAGTCATGGACAGTTTCCAGGTGCCTAAGGCTCCCATGGGCCAGGAGGTGAAAGGCTTCCCCAAGGTGTCAGAGAAAACCCCATTGAGAGTTGCAGATCTGAGATCTGAATGCAGCTTTTATGTTTCAAGTCAACATCTAATAACTGGTGAATCCAGGAAGGGGGAGAGAGTGAGTTTTCCCCATTTGTCTCTGAAAACTTACTGTCAGCAGAATTGCATAGACTCAGAATTGTTAGTTCTTAAAAATATTACATATAGGTATAAAAAAGAAAAGTCTGACGCAAAGTTTTGTTTAAAATGTCTTTTTATTTTTAATAGGAAAAAATATAACAAATTTATTAAAATAATTCATATCATCTTTGTATTCAGATACTTTTGAATATTTAAATCACAATTTTACAGCATTATCCAAGGGTTGTATTGTGATCTTTTCAATTTTTTAAAAAATTTTTTATTCTAATTTGTTATATATGACAGCAAAATACATTACAATTCATGTTACACATAGAGAGCACAATTTTCCATATCTCTGGTTGTATACAAAATATGTTCACACCATTCATGTCTTCATACATGAACTTAGGGTAAAATGTCCATCTCATTCCACTGTCTTTCTTACATCCATGCACCCTCTCTTCCCCTTCCACCCCTTTGCCCTATCTAGAGTTCATCTAATCCTCCCATGCTCCCCCTCCCAACCCTACACATGAATCAGACTCCTTATATCAGAGAAAACATTCGGCATTTGGTTTTATGCGATTGACTAACTTCACCTAGCATTATATTCTACAACTCCATCCATTTACCTGCAAATGCCATGATTTTATTCTCTTTTATTGTTGAGTAATATTCCATTGTGTATATATACCATATTTTCTTTATCCATTCTTCTACTGAAGGGCATCTAGGTTGGTTCCACAGTTTAGCTATTATGAATTGTGTTGCTATAAACATTGATGTGGCTGTGTCCCTGTAGTAGGCTGTTTTTAATTCCTTTGAGTATAGACTGCAGAGTGGGATAGCTGGGTCAAATGGTGGTTCCATTCCCAGTTTTCCAAGGATTCTCCATACTGCTTTCCATATTGTCTTCAACAATTTGCAATCTCACCAGCAATGTATGAGTGTACCTTTTCCTCCACATCCTTGCCAACACTTATTTTTGTTTATATTCTTAATAGCTGCCATGCTGACTGGAGTGAGATGAAATCTTAGAGTGGTTTTAATTTAGATTTCTCTTATTGCTAGAGATGTTTAACATTTTTTCATATATTTATAGATTGATTGTGTATCTTCTTCTGAGAAATGTCTATTCAGGACCTTGGCCCATTTATTGATTTGGTTATTTTTTGTTGTTGTTGTTTAGCTTTTTGAGATCTTTATATACCCTAGAGATTAGTGCTCTATCTGATGTGTGAGGGGTAAAGATTTGCTACCAAAATGTAAGCTCCCTATTCACCTCATCGAATGTTTCTTTTGCTGAGAAAAAGCTTTTTAGTTTGAGTCAATCCCATTTGTTGATTCTTCATATTAATTCTTTTTCTATAGGAATCTTATTGAGGAAGTTGGGGCCTATTCCCACATGATAAAGATTTGGACCTACTTTTTCTTTTTTTTTTATTTAATTGATTTTAATTTTTTAAATACATGGCAGCAGAATGCATTACTATTCTTATCTATTAGATGCAAGGTCTCTGGTTTAATTCCTAGGTACTTGATCCATTTTGAGTTTAGATTTGTGCATGGTGAGAGATAGGGGTTTAATTTCATTTTGTTGCTTATGGATTTCCAATTTTCCCAGCACCATTTTGAAGAAGCTATCTTTTCTCTAATATATTTTTTGGCACTTTTGTCTAGTATAAGTGAACTGTAATTCTATGGGTTAGTCTCAGTGTCCTCTATTCTGTACCATTGGTCTACAAGTCTATTTTGATGCCAATACCATGCTTTTTTTTGTAACTACTACTCTGCAGTATAGATTAAGGTCTGGTATAATGGTATAATCTGCTTCACTCTTCTTGTTAATGATAGTTTTAGCTTTTTTAGGTCTCTTATTTTTCCAGATGAATTTTATGATTGCTTTTTCTATTTCTATGAGGAAGAACTTTGGAATTTTGATTGGAATTGCATTAAATCTGTATAATATTTTTGGTAGTATGGTCATTTTGACAAAATAAATTCTGCCTATCCAAGATCTTTCCATCTTCTAAGGTCTTCTTTGATTTATTTCTTTAGCATTCTGTAGTTTTATTGTAGAGGTCTTTCACCTCTCTTATTAGGATGATTCCCAAGGATTTTTTTTGAGACTATTGTATTAAAATAATTCATATCATTTTTGTATTCACATAAGTTTGAATATTTAAATCACAAATTTTATAACATTATCCAAGATTTGCATTGTGATCTTAACCTTAATCTTTTCATATTTTGTCTGAATAAGTTTCATACAAATTTATTTAATTTTATTAAAAAAATTTAAAATGAGATTTTAATGAGAATTCAATGGTATGTCAACATTACTGTGTAAAATTTGACACCAATTTTGTTAATTGTAATATTTTAGATTATATCATTTTATATCTCTATATTTTTATGTGTTTATTAAGTATGTATTTAATATAAATACAAATATGCCATTGAGACTCAGTATTCAGGGAGTCAATATTTCATATTTGTCTAGTCCCTAAAAGGTATTTGTAGCCCCCAGTCAATTCTGATAGCCATTTAACATATGGAAAACTGCCCCAAATTTGACTTCCTGACATGCATATTCCCACTCGAGGTTGAACAAGAATCTAAGTTCTAGTTTCAGTGCTCACAATGTAAATGAGTGTTATTTATGCTATCTGTTCAGTGACACATGTTCTCTCTCTCTTTCTTTTCTATTCTTTGGTTATTGATCCCCATGATTCAAATGATTGACAAGTAGATTGCTGAGGTTCTATGAACTGTTCCTAAGTGCCAGAAGTTTTTCCAGTACCTTATGAAGGAAAGAACCTTATTAGTAAGCTTCATCAAGAAGTGAGTTATATTGCTTTCAATTATGAACTCAGAGGTAAGGAGTAAATATTTTGTCCCAGAAAAGAGAGGAAGAAACTCACCTCTTTGTATATGAGGCCTATCTGGAAAGTTTTAAAGTAACATCTATCTTGAGTGATAAAGATGTGGAAAACATCGGTTATATAAAATATGTGGGAAGTCATTGCTTTGGACTGATGTTCTACACTAGGCACCACCATCCTAGAACAAAATAGCCAGGAGTCACTTGTGCAAGTGTCATGTAATCAAATGAAATGCTAATTAGAAATCCCCAACAGGTCAGTTTCTCCCCAAAACAGGGCATTCATAGCAATCAACATAAAAGGGTCCAGTTGACCTGACCCATAACCATAAAGAATTCCCCTTAGTTAGACCTTTACAAGGAAAGTTGATCTTACTCAACTTATTTTATTTTCTTGCTCTGTGTTATTATTCCTACTCAATCTGTTGTACAAACTCCACTACTGTGTCCTTCCCAGCAGAACCCCCATTTTGATATGGGAAGTCATATCATTATTGGATCACTAATAAA